CTGCATACGATGTGAGCTAAGCGAAATACACCAACTTATCAGGGGCACAAAATTATTATATCTCGGGAGTCCAGACAGCACTCCCTGTAGTTGTGAAATTTGGCGTGATTGATATCCTCTGCTATTGTTGAGTATGTTCCGTCAATCCGTGAACACCGGTACTGTGCCAGCTCAGTGGAAAGAAGTTATAGTTGTGCAGCGACATTAATCGTGCTCTTTGTTCGTGTCCAAAAATTCTCGCCCAAGAAGCCACACATATATTAGAGCATAAATGATGGAGCGACATATCTAAGCGAAAGTTAGTAAACCACTATCAGCATGGCTTCTTGAATATTCGGTCTTGCGTAACGTGCCACCTGGAATTCCAAAACCATATAGTTGCACCACATGACCTTGGTATGTCGGCAACTCTAATTCACCTCCAGATGTGGAAAACGTTAAATCATATCCGACTGTTTACCTTAGCCTTGATAATGGCCCTTGTAAAACATATTCTTTCAAGTGGAAACCTGGGTCTGGCAGATACTTAACTTGTAAGTGAACGAAACTATCAAAAATCAGATAGACAGGGTGGTAACCTCAATATGTTGCTATTGGTAGAGGCTGGATGACCATACTCCCTCCACACAAGCTCATATAACATGGGGGTAGACGAAAATTAAAGAGATATGGCGCTTTTTGCTGTCATTGCAAAAGTTGCTATCCTCAGAAATGGGAAAATCAGAAAAGTGGCCTGATGGTGCGATCCCATCCAGGGAAGCCCAGAAGGAAAGTGTGAATATTTCGGTGTTTTACGAGTGTGTTCATTTTGTTCCGCGTATTGTAGTGGGGCTATCTCTGCAACGTTACAAAAAGGAGACTGTTCTGTTTATTTTATAATTCATTCATCTTTCGACTTATCAAAGTAATCAAGGCTTGGTGTGATTGGGATTCTTGTGTTTAATTATTTATTTTCAGTTTGGTATTTTTGCGCACAGCATGCACATGAACTGTTGGCTAGAGACAGGGATAAGCATAAAGTTATCACAGAAATATTCATTGTCGAATTCGGATGTAGTAACGGTTGGGTCACGTAATATGTTTTCTGATAATGCAGTAACTGAGACGTTCGATGGACCTATACTACCTGATGCGGTGTAACCAAAATCTACACCAACCGCAACCTCTGTACCAGTAGATGATAAACGTAAATACAACAACATTTATCGTTCTTTTGGATTTATGGAGGCCAGTTGCCCACACTGCCTTGTGTAACAAAGTGCTTCCATGGCGCCTGTAAAAATGCGGCGATATTTTGTAAAGTCGAATGCGGATTGTAAAGAGAGGACAAATGAGTACTCTGAGTGCAGGTGAGATGAACTGTTTAACATCCAAACGTACATGCTTAACGCGTCTCGGACTTTAAATGAAAGGCTTCTGTATCATCTTACATACTCCGGTGTCGTATTGCGACAACGGGATAACCTCCCACCATAGTCGAGAAACGTATGCTATGTGCTGTCGAAATGACTAAGTTCATGCTGGATGCAAAATCAGCAAACCCGTCGCCTGTGGTACCAACTGATACAGCAGCTGGGAGAATTAAGCTACTAGCAACTGTTGTTAAGCTGGAATTAATCTTCCGCACCAGTTCCAATTATTTTGCTATAAAGTAAATAAACAATAAACGGTATATTCCTCGGTGATGCGAGGCACAATGTAACTAAATGATCTTATCAATGATTAAATGGACGAGTCGACAGGTAGGACAGGACTTACCGTGTTGCTTGTGCTTGTAAGGTAGTAACAATAGCTAACCCTAGAAGGCATGCTTTTTGTGAACATCTATCGATGAACACTTGTGGCGTTGAGATGTTTAACATCATGAATAATTTCACACAAGAATATAGCATTTTATTGATGATTGCATCGAGATTTGCGCTGATGGTGCCAAAGCAATGACAGGAAAGTTTGCCGGTTTTGTGACAAGAATCAAAACTGTTGCAATAACCTGCACAGACAGCCAATGTATTATTCAACAACAAGAAATTGCCATAAGAAAAATGTCGCCCAATCACAAAAATGCCCTGATGGGGCAGTGAAAATAATCACTTCATTGAATATCGGCCTCTGCTCAACTGACTGTTCAAGATTCTGTGTGACGACAAGGACGTGTTTCGCACACTTTTACTAATCGACACTGGAGAAAGATGGTGCTCCCGTGTAAAATAGTACTGTGTTTTTTACAAGTACGTCTAGAAGTCTTCACTATCTTTATGGATCCCCATTCTTATGTAAAGTTCTGGATGACTGATAGGAAGTGGTTGGTAAGACATGCCTATTTGTTTGTTATCTTCGCAAATATGAACGATATAAATCTAACACTGTAAGGATAGTCTACGACCACATACAATGCAAGTGATAAATTGGGGATTTCAAAAGAAAGTAAAATTTTATGTGTTTCCTGTTCGCAGTGGAGCTCTTGACAGATTTCCGACACTGAAAGACATTTAGAAAAGACGTAGGGGGTAAAAAGTTCCAGAGGGTCTGTCTGAGGAAATTGTGTAGTATTTGGAACAGCTGACAGCATGCTTGTTTCGGTATTTTTCCAGCACAAATGAGGAAGAATTGGAAGAATTTTCGTGAAACCATAACACATCTGTTAACAAGAAAAGCCTCCTCCTCAAATCTCTTTAGCAGGAGAAAGGCATAGCCATGATACCAGATTCTTTCCTTCAGGAAGAGTTTCACAAATTGTAGCTGTCTGATTTCTGGTGCCAAATGAAGGACGAGTACCGTTTCAAAGCGAGGACGGCTGTCACCGTGCTTCTTCCACTCGTAACAACTTATCTATGTGCAAGTGCTTTTTCGCATTATGCTTTTACAAAATCTAAGTCCGCAATAGGTCTAAAATGAACGAGATATAAGGTTTCAGTTTGCCTCAAAACTCTCATCAACAAACAAGTCAGCAATGCATGTCAGAAACAATTTCATCCCACACGTTAAGCCCAAATTTACCTAGTTTTTCTACCTAAATTCGGCAGTTTTTTATTGTTAATTAACATTAATGAACCACTGTGTTAAGTAAGTTTACAGCAATGAACTTTTCCAGGACATTCCGGCTCATTCGTAGCTTATAAAAGCCTAGTCTTGTAGTTAACTAGACGTCAAGGGACCCGCTGTGCGTGCTTCCGCTAAAAAGGGGTCTACGAGCCAAAAAAATGAGAACCCCTGTCCTACGGCATCATTGAGCCCCTGCTTCCTTACATACATACATACAAGTCAGACACATGTGGTAAAAGAACACAACTGAGACTACACTTGGCACCGGCGGCATAATACAAAGCAGTGTCCTTGGGCCGCGACTGTTCCTAATATATATTGACGATATCTCCTACGTAACAACATTCGGTACCCATGCCAGTTTGCCGATAACATTGCAATCGCGTACATTTTCCTTCCGGATGACTCTAGTGGTGTTGTCAACATGGTTCAACTCGATCTCCGTGCGTCTGAAACCTGGTGGTCAAATTGGAAAATACCTTTCTCTACTGACAAATGCTGCGCAATGTCCTACAAGAGCTATTTGACGCTTAGCGACCTGACTCTTTGTGGCAAACTACCTAATCTCTACCGTACGACAAGCGACCAGTAATCACAATATTCATGCTCACTTAACTTCTGTGAACAAGTAGACCATGCCACCGTGAGGGGTAGCAGAAATGGGATTGGTATGCCGGATCTCTTCCATACATGAATCAATAATTCATCCTTACAAATCACTTGTTCGGCCCGCGTTACAATATTGTTCGATGGAGCACAGCAGCTCAAAAAGCGAGACCACATTGCACCGGAATGCGTACAGAGAGCATTCACAAAGCGCATTACAGGTGATTCTTCAAAAATGCAATATGCTGAACGATCTGCTAAACTCAAGATGGATCCGCTCTGGCTACGGCGCGTGAAGCACAACTTACCCATATTTTGCAATATCTTGCACCGAAAGATACACGTTTCCAATCTCAACATGATTTTGATGCAATCAGTCGTCTACACCATACGATACAAACAAGACTCAGTGGCGGAATGCCAGTCCAGGATAAGAGCGGTTCTGCAAAGTTTTCCTTAACAGGTATGCCAGAATCTGAAACGAGCTATACACTGTAGTACGTACCTACACTTTTGAGCACGAATTTTGCATAACATCAGGTTCTTAACAGTACAAAACGGGAGCAAGTTATTCGGACGTTCTATAACAGCAAGCCAAGCATACAATCAGGGTCCAGGCTTCATGTAACTTAGTGCAGTTGCTTCGTCGACATACTCCCTGCTCTGAGTTAGCTGTTTTCTAATAACATATGTGAGAAAGTGGCTGAAGGTCAAACGAAAGCAATTCATTTCACTCAACCGTTTCATGTACCACTGCTGGCCGTCCGAATGTCATTATCTGATCTGCTTTTTAATTTTCTTGATACATCTGTAACCAAAGTTCTAAGCAAGTATCCAATCATCCCATCATGTCGATACAGGCGTGTCTCGCATTATGAAGATAAAAAGTTTATTTAGTTATTCATTTAGCGGATGTCAGAGCTCAGTTCAAGATAAACGGTCTAAGCCTAGCCTGCTGGCATGGCACATGCAACGGGACCTCCTGGTCGCTTTTCAGCGCTGTAAGTGCCAACCAGATTGAGCGTACGTCATTTCTTTGTTATACAAAGCTAAGCCTCGTTTGAATGTGCTAAGCAGATCGTCTGGGATGATTCCTACAGAAAAGTGGTCATATGCGAAGGCATGCTTCCACCCTGGGTCCTTGAAGACGCACAGAATCACAGTATGTCGTTTGTTCGACAAGACTGGGGTTCACGATGTTTTGCCGCGGTTTAGACGTCTGAGTAGCCTGTTACAATGGAAGTCTGGACGGAAACTGACACTCATTAACAGCCTGCAGATTGTATCAATAATTTCATTACATGCACCAAATATACAAGTGAAAAATTAAAAATAGTTTCTGATTGTTTTAGGCCGCTTTCTGAATTCGTTTCCCGGTTTGATCTTCATTTTGACAATATCTACTTTGCTGGGGGCAATCCTGTTTCAGCGCCTGGAGTCATCACACGAGAAGCATTCACGAATACATGTGTCCAAGGTAAGTATATGCCATCAACCATTTAGGTATTTATGAGTTGAGTTAATTTGAGAGAGAAAACTGCTCCCAATTGCCTGCTTGCTAAAACCACAGCTACCTACTCGCGTTGTCATTGCACGACCGAACTATAGGATTTGTAATCTCAGCCCTTTTAACTATGAAAATCTCGGAGGTGATTTCCATATATCCCGAAAGCGATACCATTGAGTTTGCTTAAACATGGTGGGTTTTGGAATATCTGTACACGGGAACAATTTATTGGTTAGTGGACTCTGTTTCATTCGTTTCGGTTGTAGCAGCCAGGTGAACCGTCCGTAACTATCACATGTATGAGGTTGTATGTCATCCTCACCTGAAGGTCATTGAGGAAGATAGCTAATAGTGTAGTCAGGCAGAAGGCAAGGATTACCCGGAATATAAGAAGACTATGAAAACAAGGGCTAGTGAAAGCAAGAAAAGGCGCAACTAGTATGACCAGACGGAGCAAGGCGGGTCTAAAGAAACGGGCTGGGACCGGGTCACGAGCGGCAACAGTTGGCGAGCCTGAACCGACAACAACAGAGAAAGGATTCGTCGAAAGCGCAATAAATCAGATGAACACGCCGGTATTGAAGCCTCCAGGACTGTTACCGAGCAGAATGATGCAGTTAAAACTAGGCGAAATGCGAGCTATGGCACGAATTGTTGCCAACCAGCATGGGACGGATAGAAGTGGAGATTTGAGGTGAAATATGCAGGAACTATTCGATGGCGCAGGCCGTGTCGGTGCATACATATGTTTCAAGCGGACTCCGGACAGTGTGGTACGTTGTGGTGAGGAAACAAAACTCATACTTGTTCGCCTGCCTGCGTAGGTTGTTTGACTGTTGTCTCATCACTAGAGATTGTGCGTCATTATTGCGTTGTTCTATTACAATCGCAGTTGAAAACATGCCAGGCGTCGATTTGCTGGTCGGACTAAATTGAATGCTATGGTTATGTTGCTTATACTGCAGCAATGTGGCAGCAATGTTAACATGAAGACGTACGCTCGTTATTTTAGAAGATAGCGTACCGGACGCCGTCTTTTCAACAATAGGAGGTGAGATTAGCAGCAACAATCAACGGTGTGTTATGGCACGACCTGCATAACACTCCATCCCATTGGTACCAAAACCAGCCAAATGCCTTCACCCCGATTGGCAACCTCAGAAGGTTGCTAAGTTTTGCCGCAAAAGGTGTGGATCACTGCCTTCGTCCCAGTACTGGTTCAGCTGGTGGCTCCATCATGGAGTGGCAGACTGTCTAACCGCCGTGTTGTGCATGTCTGGGGCATATTCTTCCTCGTTTTGACATCAGTAGTTAACTGGTACACGCTGACCACACAGTGGTTAGTAGCTCACAAGAGGATCTTATTCTCTCGTAGTTTAGGTTGTACCACGTACAGCCTTCGGGATTTTACTTGACTCCTGGGTTGGCGCCGCACAGGTCCACCTGTCAAATTGTAGGAACTAAGTGTATGAAGTGTAGGATAGGTTCTATAGGAAAGTGTCTCCTAACCGCATGACTTTCGGCTCGTTCTTGAGAATGGACACTGGACATGGCTTACATAAGCAGGGATGGGTTCGGTGTTAACCAGGTCAGTTGAATGTTCGTTAATAACATATACATCCATTGACCGTTGCACGCAAACCTGATAGTTGAGTCCGATAGTGAAATCCGTTAGTCTTATCTCACCGAGACAACCCGTGTGCTCCTCTTTTTCGCCTTCATTATTATTTATGCCAGTATGTGTATAAATGAAGGTTAGAGAGACAGAGATACCAGATCTTTTGGGCTTTCCTTTACTAGATAATCAAGCTCTCCGATAAATTTGCTGGCCAAAATGTAAAGTTTTTCCTTAGTAGGTTTCGGAGCCATAGATTTATTCCATGTTATACACATCCTTGATGCTTGCAAAATAACAATCATCCTCTTTACTCGTTCTCACCGAGCTCTAAATGGTTTCTTTATCCGTCAAATTCAGCGGAACAAGTAGCCACAAAGAGTAAATGGTTGATTTGGCATTAATTGTTCCGCAGGAACTCGTGCGCCATACATGGAAATCTATCATTACATTTGACTAAGGTGACAACGCCAAGGAATCCCGAATGTGCCGCCCTTGCAGGGAGAGACTCACTTCGAACGGGACCTGGGATGAACAGTAGACAGTAAGCCCAAGGAGTAAAAATTGCTGCTCATCAATTTCAGCGAACATTGAGTTGCAGTTCTTAAAAAAGCATACGAAGACGCTGTGGTAAACGTGATTAAAAAATTTCAGTATTTGGAAACTTAAATAAATAAATTTGTGGCTTTCGATTTGGCTCCATCCGATCCCTGCACCCCCCGACCGACGGTTTCGTCTTTGTTTAATCTCATCAGATATACATAGTGAGCTGGGACTGGAACACGGCACACATTGCAAGGCGGATATTCCATGATCACTTGGCTCCGCTAGCAGTGCATGACACAGCGGTTGGAAGTAGATCTTTGGGTGTTGGAGCACCCGCCGAGTGTCTTGGATTGCCACAGGCAATCTCAATCGTTGCCTCGGTTGGCTTCAAAGACAGCCTCTGTCAATACGGTCACTGGGACCATCATCGAATTGGACGACTTCGGTTTGGCTTTCTCTCATCCCTGCACTCCACCACCGACGGTTTCGAATTTGTTTAGATTCATCAGATATAGATAGCCCAGCTGGGACTGGAACTTGGCACACTGTGCTTGGCAGATATCGCCATGATCACTTGGCCATTGAGCTCCGCCAGGAGATTGACACAACAGTTAGAAGTTTACTTTCGGAGGTTTGAGCACGCGCCGTGTGTCTTGGGTTGCGTAGCCAATCCCAACCAGGATCTCGGTTGATTTTGAAGTAATCCTGTGCTCATACGATCACTCAGAACGTCGCAGAGGTGGTGGGTTTCTGTTTAGCAGCCATTTAACCCTGCGCTCCACGACCGAAGGTTTCGTCTTTGTTTAGAGTTATCAGGTGGAGATAGACAAGCTGGGAATAGAATTCAGCGCAGAGTACTTGGCGGCTATCGCCATGATCGCTAGACCTTCGAGTTCTGCAAGAACTGTTTGGCACTTCCGTTAATAAAAGATTTTAGTATATTGGAGCAGTCGCATTGTATTATATTTGTTCTTAGCAATGAATCGTGGGGTGCCTGTCTTGGAAATGTTATCTTGCGGACCTGTGTAAGGTCGGCCACTAATCATTATTTGGTCAGAGCTATGAGGAACTCATCAATATGGGATCCATGGATTCCACCATTACCTCTTTGCGTCACTTTTTGGATGTAATGTTTGGGGTGTGTTTGCCAGTTTCACATGTTAGCTCAGTGGAAATCCAAACTGTTGTCGGGAAGTGATTCGACTTAGTGGCTGCTCTCGTATGTATGCTTAGCAAATGCTGCTTTGATCTGGAGTTAAGAAGGAAGGCTGTCGCGACCCGCATACAAGCTCTAAAGCACCCTTGTTGATATTTGTCTAGATTAAATGCTTACGTTCACAATCCTCGGGTAAGTGGTGGCAGATGAAATACGAAAAGGCATAAGTCTCTTAGGACAAGCAAAAACTTGAGGAAATGCTAACTCACAGTCAACTCACAATTAAGTTCCGGCTACGGTGAACGATATACCCGTTGAGGAGGTCGAACGCAATGAATGCAGTCGCTCAATTGTAATTCCAAGGCAACTATGCGGCTTTCAACCAGACACGAGGGTAGCGTTCACAAGCAGCAGCAGCAGCATCGCCGAAACTCAGCACGACGGGAGCGCGGATTTCGAAGAAGTATGTTCGCGTAGTTTTACATCAATTCAAACAAACTGTTCAAAAAGGTGTCGTGATAAACATGATTAAGCGAAATACAAACCTATGCATAACCACTGCAAGTCACGCCCTTTTTACTTTGGCGATCCGCGCGGTCTCTATATCGATTTACTTGTAACATTTCCCCGGGAGTGCTTCTCGGGAATTTATCGCTGCTGTTCCTGATCGTGAGTGGTCGCTTCTCCTTCATCATTACTCCTAGCCTTGCGCACACCGTGTACAAAGATGGTCCTGTGTACGGCTTCCTTCCAGTATTCTTCCATGTCCCGCCATGTCTGTTCGCGTTGTATCCACGGAATTTTCGTGAAGGTGCGGATGGAGCCTCACCCATTCCCGGGCGCGCTGTCGATAACGGGATAGATTCTCTTTCATTGGCGGAAGTCAGCACAACTCGGAGTAACCTCGGCTCACCGTAGTTTTGTGAATTTGGGTGAGGGCTACCGCGTGTCAACTTGACGGGCTTAGCTTCAACGCCTATACTATCACATATGGTGTTCCATTAGTTTACGTCAACGTGTTTTTTAACTTGTAAGGAATTTGATGTCGATTCTGGAAACTTGCTGCAAGTTAATGCCGGAATAGTATATGCAATTCGGGTTGAGGTCAACAGCCCAACTGGTCTGCATACAACCGGTGGAGGCTGCGTAAGTACAACTTCGTCGCCTTCATTTGATTTGTGCCCAGTGGAAGTGGCCGAAGGTCTCCGTTTCCGGTTGCTTTTAGCAACAGGGAAGTTCCAAACACCACTAGTGTCGTCATTCTGAAATGTTGGAACTGTTTAGAGGATGGACGAGGTCCTGACCGTGCTATTTCTAATCGGACCAGCGGTGTTTGTTAAAGATGTATTTGGGAAACTGGTGGTATTAACATTCAAAGCGACAAGGGACGCAGTTTAATGCGCTGCTCAGCCTTCTTTCACAAATTAGATGCAAAGCCTAATGAGAATTATTAGAGTTTGCTCTCAGTTGCACTTTCTTCAGAAAAATAAATGTTGTCGTTCCTCTAAAGTTTAATTATTGCCACCAAGGTTTCGCGTTTCTGTGATAGTTCATGCACAGGCATTACCAGTAAAACTACCATACATACTTCACAGAACCACAGTGAATCTGGTTAGCTATTCTGTATCCTCAACTAGTTTACTGCGAGCTTGG